GGATCCACTTAGGTCTTACATATGGAACCCAGCCTTCTACCGGTTCTCGAGGATTCAACGAGTGAAGGCCTGGCGCCGGACGCTCCGCCACGTCTGGCTGCCGAGTGGATGGAGGAACTCAACAGGGTCTACTATATGGACTCTCTGGAGGGGTTTTTGCAAGCCGACCTGAAGCCGGGGCCTCTCAGTGCTTTTACCCGTCTGAGGTGAGAACACAGGAGGATACCGGATCCACACGAAAGTTATGGAATCTAGCGAACGTGTTAGGGGTCGCCCAGCCCACAGCTCTACAGATATCCGCCAGTGAGGCACCACGAGCCAGTGCCCAGGAGGATGCAACACTTCTAGTTGAGTGAGCTCGCAACCTGAACGGGCAGGGCACACCCTGTGCCTGATAAGCCAGGGAGATGGCATCCACTATCCAGTGGGCCATCCTCTGCTTAGAGATGGCATTCCCCTTCTGCCGTCCTCCGTGACAGACAAAGAGCTGGTCTGAGGTCCTGACGCTTTGGTCCGGTCAACGTAGCACCGTAAGACTCGGACGGGACAGAGCAAAACTAGGGCTGGGTCTGCCTCCTCCGAGGGTAGCGCTTGGAGGTTCACCACCTGATCCCTGAAGGGAGTAGCGGGAACCTTGGCCACATAGCCGGGCCGGGGCCTCAGGGTTACCTGGGAATCAGCCGGCCCAAACTCTAGGCACAAATCGTTGACCGAAAATGCATCCAGGACACCACGTAAGTGGCGTCAACGGAACTACAGGCGTACCCGCAGTGGGGCAGCGCGGAAGAACGCAGGGACCCGGCCCGGGTGTCTCGTAGCCAGTCCGAGGCATGGTCTGGGTGTGTGTAACACTGACCTGCATTTGAGCCGAGGGTGCGTGGGTTACATTTATATATATACACACACACATACATATTACAGTTTTTATTAATATTTTAATCAGTTTAATATATATACGTACATACATGCACAAAAACAATCATATACTGTATTTTTAGAAAATATATTATTTTACCATTTAACAGCATTATTTCAAGGGTTCTTCCTCCCGATCCGCCCACTGCTGCTCACCGGCGAGAGAGGAGGGTGAGTGTGATACGGCTCTGGATTGTCCACAACCCCCCATCCCCTCAGGGAACCCAGAGATAGAAGAAATTGCTCTTTTGTCGAGTATTTGGGTACCAATGACCGCGAGGTCAGTGGCAGAAAAAAGGAAACAAAAGATTCTCCGCCCGGCCCTCCTCC